GGACTGACTATAACTAGCTTACCAGATGATCACAACACAAAATAATATGGCTCCAGGCCATTATATGAGGCAGTGCCAAACTGTTTAACTGAAGGTAAAGGGAGGGTGGGAATAAAACTATGTATATTCTTAATTTTTCCTAGGCATACCTGCTGCCATCCGTGATGTACATTTGTTCTGAGCAGAGTTCCTGCCAGTAAAACACTTAGCATATGAACATTAATCTAATTCCTGTTAGAGATAAAGCAATTTCAGCTCTCTCCTCTTCTAGGGAAGTATTTCATCCTAACAATAAAATCTCTATTGTAGCATGTTGGACCAGTGGTACTGTGGTAGCAGGCAGGATTTTTAAGTCTTAAAGTTGCATATGTGAAGGATTCTACATAAACATGTCTTTTTAAAAAACAAACAAAAAAAGTGTGTGGGGGGGGGGGTGCTTTAAAACTTATCCCCTGCTCTAAGTAATCAAGATCTTTTTTAAAGCTGCTGAATTATTCTCATCTACCACAGCTTAAATAAAGAAGTTCTGTCCCGCGTCTCTTGCAACTGTACGCTGAAACTCAAGTGTGGGTCACCACAATAAAAAATAATTTAAGAAAGTGAAAGGCTTGGCTGCCTGAAAAAACTGAGTTATTGGAGTAAACATGAAGCAAGTGGGATGAAGTGATGAAACACAAATTGCGGATTCTTCAATTATAAAATTCCACATGTCCTGCAAGATGAATTTCACTGAATACCACTGAAGGCTTATAGAAGATACTGCTTTGCCATAGGAGAAGTGAAATCAGAGTCTAGGACTGCAACCTATAACAATACTGCATATATATTTATACTGTCTCAACCCTGTTAAGTCACTGACTTACATGCCTAACATCCTTCCTGTGACTGAATAGAGGGGAAATAACTTGTACTTGAACTTATATTTGACCCTTCATAACTGGGATGTAAACAGCTATTCAATAAGCAAATACTAGTCGACTAGTCGCTTCCCCCTCCCCCCGCCTCTATCAGAAAAAGGCAGCAAGAGGGGCGAAAGAGAAGGGGGTACTTCAAAGCGGCAAGCACCGCATGCAGCCCAGGGCCAGCTCGGGTGTCCCCAGGTTTCATGTGGCATTTCAAACTCCCCCACTGACCCCGGGCTCTGTGCAACGCTGCAGCTTTGAAACACCGCATAGCGCCTGACGCTGGGTTCCCCACAACATTTCAAAGCAGCAGTGCCGCAGGAAGCCCGGGGTCAACCAGGGGGTCCCCAGCTGATCCTGGGCTCCATGCGACATTGCCACTTTGAAACTCCATGGGGAGCATGGGGCCAGCGGCAGACTGCCCTGCCGGCCCTGTGCCTCCCACAGCGCTTTCACCTTTAAAGGCGGAGGCACCCTATTGACTAATTGAATAGTCAATGCAAATTGCATTGACTATTCGATTAGTCAATTACTCGAAATTTAACATCTCTACTTCATAATCATAATAGATAACTAAAATGCAATATTATAAAAAAATAGTATTTTTTTAAAAAAGAGAGTCCTAAAAGCTTAGTTTGTAATTTAAATAATTGAAAACCACCACCACTAAGGCCAGATCTACACTATGTGAGAAATTCGATTTAGGATACACAACTCCAGCTACAAGAATAGCGTAGCTGGAGTCGACATGCCTTAAATCAAATTCCTCTGGCAGCACCATTGTGGGAGTCGATGGAAAAAACTCTCCTGTTAAATTTCCTCACACCTCATGACCCTGTGGAGTATTGGGATCAAAAGAGACGCCATCAGTGTTCGATTTAGTAGGTCCTTACTAGACCTGCTAAATTGAACCCCAAAAGATTGATTTCTGGAGTGTCAATCTCCACATAAGTATAGACAAGGCCTGAAAGGCACAAGGTCAGATTTTCAGAGGTGCTGAGCTACCACAAGAATCAATTAGAACCATGGGTGCTCATTACTTCTGAAACATCAAGTCCTTTTCTATATTTACACACATGCTTAGGTATGACCCACCGGAAAAAAACCACATTCATTTTATTGTCATGAGTCTATTGTAATGCATTCTACCCCTTCTGAATGCAACACTCAGCTGCAGCTCACTACCCTGACAAATAAAGGAAAGCACTTTATGAAACCAATTTAATTGGGAGGTGACAGAAAACATACAGCCATTTTCTTTAGCCTTATCACTGAATTGGCTTCAGCTCCAATCTCTGCCAAATCCCACTCAACAGAAGAAATTAACCAGGTCAGCGGAACAGGTGCTACGCTGTGTCTGTCAAGGGGCTGGCATCCCCACAATTACTTGCACACAATGAAGCGGTAATCTTTACAGATCATCTCTCCCAATAAGCATATTGGGGACGGGAGGAGAAGAGTGAAAGGGAGGGAGGGAGAAGGGGAGAAAGGAAAAAGGAAAAAAAAAAGCAAGAAAGGAAAATGAATGTGTTGCTGCCTCACGGCTCAGCAGATGTCTGTGCGTGATGTACGAGGCTAGGATAAGCTGTCGGAGCCGGCTGCCAAAGAGTGGTAAGTGATTAAAGCCTCCACAGTCCTAAGCACCATATTTAGAGTCTATGGGGTTTCGAGAGCTGCACCCATTCCTTGCTGTGCTGCCAGATGTTGTCGATTGGTCCCGTTCCTATTCGCTGTGTGCGGGCGGCAGCAGTTGGTACAGCAAGTACTGCAATCTGGAATGTTTCCGGAGATGCCGTACATTAAACGAGTGTCACCCATCATTCACCTCTACAGAACGCTGAAACAACTCCAATTTGCTGCCGCTTCCCTCTTGGGAAATGGCCAAGATACAGTTGTGCCTGGCAGCCCCATTTGTTTTACTCAGGTGTTCCTCTTCCCTCAATGACCTCTATTAGTTTAAGTTTTAATTTAGATTAACCCCGGCACCCCAATTAACCAGTGAGGGGAAAAGCTAAAATGTGACTAGTCATAACTCTGAAATCAGAATTTATCGAACTTCAAATTATTAGGAAGGAGGAAGGGCCATTCAACTACTGCTATTTTTCTTTAAAAACTTAACATTTCAGGGCCAAGAACCCTCCCAACACACATATGCTCGCACACACACTATATAGGCCTAAGGTTTGCCAGTGGAGGTTATTTTTCCCTATTCATTTTAGTACTTTATTATGCTTATTTAATCTGCGATACGCTCTTGTTGCAAACTTGGACTCCTGATGATGGAAACAGATTGATTGCATCTCAGAATTCTCTCGCACAAATATTCAGCGCTAACATCATAGATATGGCCCTCCAATCACTGCAGCTCAACAGCTCTCTTTTTCATTTTAAAGAGTGTGTGAAAGAATCCAATCGCCAATGCAAGAATTGCTGAGTCCCTCTTTGCCATGGAAATGCTGTTCAACTCACCCCAGGGCTAGGAAGGATTCTCTGACTGTAACAAACAGTCCTGGAAATCAAGAGATACACATTTCATTCCCTGCTCCACCCAGAGTTCCTGCATGATCTGAAGGAAGTGGTTTACCAGATGAGATGTTCACAAGTGTTTAGCCTTGTCCTGACTCTGGTCCCACAGAAGTCAATAATAAAACTCCCATTGTCTGCAACAGTAGCAGAGTCAGAACAATGCTGAGGACTCATGAAAAAAAAAAATCACCTCCTTAAAATTTCTCAGTGCTCTTCCAATATTTGAAATGGTTTTAGCAATTACCTACTTCACAAATGTTTTCTTTCTATTTGGGAGCCCAGAATATGTACAGGCAGTCCCCGGGTTACGTACAAGATAGGGACTGTAGGTTTGTTCTTAAGTTGAATTTGTATGTAAGTCGGAACTGGTACATATTGTAGGGGAAACTCTAGCCAAACATTTCTCCAGAGCTCAGTTTTATTCTCCCACACCTCACTTCCCTCAGTCCTTTATTCTCAAGCTGAGGTGTCTGCTGAGAAAAGCCGCTCCGCGTCTCCCTGGTCTGCTGGGGGGACGGGGGGGGGCTAGCTTCACGTCTCCCTGGTCTGCTGGGGGGAAGCAGCTAGTGCGGGGTTGCCTCACCCCGTTTGTAAGTAGGGAGCCGATGTAAGTCGGATCCATGTAACCCGGGGACTGCCTGTATTAGAAATGTCTACTAGCCCTTAAAACATGTCTGATTGAATGAGTTATAAGGCCCTAAAAATCAAATAATTCCACCTCCTTTCACCATACTCCAATTGTCATGTGAATTTATCTGCTGATCTAGTGAACTTCTCTAGTTAGGAGTTCCAGCCTTCTAATAATATCACAGCATTTGTTTAGTCTTGATGTTTAAACCATCTCTGGATTCTCGGACCAGCAATATTTTTTTGGGCACGGGTCCAGGACTTAATTTAGCAAATCACTTCAAAGCACTGTAATTTCCAGTATGCATTTTATGTGGCTGACATTATCATCTGCTAAATGAATTACAAACACAATGATCACCCCAGCCTGCAGCCTCCACAGTACTGTGTGTAGTCTCCCTGCCTCAGCAGAGAAGGAGCTTAGGAAGCCCAACAGCATTTTCAATCTTCACGCAGATTAGACAAGTTTTGTGTTTGAATGACGATAACTAATGTGCCACCGAGCAACTGCAAAAAATTTTATTTGTGATGGGGCTTTCCCACCCACATAAGCATTTGTTTTCTCTTTAAAATATTCAGCTGCAGAAACGTCTGTAATTTCCTCTTTATACTGCAATAATCAATGAGAACGACAGACATAGGACTCATGCTGCAAGCCAAACCCATGTGAGCAGAGTAGTGTTTGTGAAGTCCATAAGACCGCCCCCATAAGGCAGGGCTAAAGGACTGATCTATATAACCTTGCATAGCAATTTCAGAGTTAAAACCTTTGGACATCATGAACTAAGGATTGAAGGTAGAGATTACAGATGCCCAGTCAAACAACTATCATGGTGTTTCTCAAAGACAAATCTTTGGGCCAAAGAATTTACGGCTGAGAATATACCACATTAATTCCAGAAATACAAAAAGCCAGCTGGAGCCAAGAGATTTCCAGAGACCCACCTGGTGGTAAAAGTCATCATCATCAAAGATCTCTTCATCCAGGTCTTTCAGGTGCGTGTTGGACTTGGCTTGAGGGATGACCTCCTGGAACAGCAGAGAGAATGTTTGTAAGTCCACATGTGCCTATGCTTTGGGCAGCGACCAGACACGGTAGCATGTCCTAAAACACATCTAATGCGCTTTTGGTGGATTTGGGCTGTGAGCCTCCTTGATCCTTATTTTCGGCATTTTGTGTTCAATATTTACAGATTTGGGGAACAAGCTCTAGATGTATTAAGCTGTAGAAAGAATTCCACAGAGAAGTGACAGAAGTGCCATTTTACTTAACTCGACAAAAAAAAATGAAGCAGCATATAATATAAAGCTATTAAAGATTAACAACAGGTTGGATGAAAGTATTCAGTGGATTCTTTTCCATCTGACTTCATTGACACCATGTAAAGTGTATAAACAATTATAAGCATGGTAGCATGTGAACATCTTCTATTAAAAGTAGTTTTTAAGCACCTGATTATTGTAAAGATAGGATTAAAAGGACTTATAATACATTGGCAGAAAAAGACTGTCAACACGGAACTGGTTTATGAGTCCCCAACTAGGAAACAAGCACAGACTGTTTACTAGTCCTTAAATACTAAGCTGATATAGACACTTATTTTGCAGGTGAAATGCAATGTGATTGAGTCCAACAACTTGGTCAAAAGCTTTCAATTTTGCACTTGTTTCTTTAAGAAGCAGAATACCAGTTATGTGACAGAACTGATACCTATGGTGGGACCAAGTCAAAGTGGTAGCATAGTCCCATCTCAAGGTTTGCACTGCCTATCAGGAATCAGTATAGGCACCAACACAAAATGTGAAATACAAGAAGCACCTTTCATCTTTTACTCCATTAAATTACACAAACAGGCACTCCATCACCTCCTACATAACTCTCCCACCAAGAACTTTACCTGCTAAAGGATTCATCTAATTCATTTGCAGAGAATGCCATCACTTCCATTGGAAGAGAGTTTCCTAAACAAAACACTTACCGAACATCCGGGCAAAGATTCAGGGACCGGCTGAGATTCCTTCTCTGGTTTTCCAAGCACCCTATACACTGATCGCTTAGTCTGTGTCCGTCGTAGTAATCTCTCTTTGTCCATCATAATATGATCAATCTGAGTCAAGATTGAACGCTCAAAGGCACTGAAACCCTGCAACAACATTAACTAGTGTCAGATAATGCAGAAAGCTGCTGCTCAAGGCAGCAATGTTCCTTTATCTTTCCGTGTCAGTGGATAAGCAGACAATGTTCCTACAGGAGCAGTTTTAGTTTGGATTTTTCTTGTTATTTTATATATATAAAAATAAAATCCAACAAAAATAAGCCAACAAAAAGACATTGACCTGAGGCAAGCTGAAAGCCTGGCTTAATAGACAGGCTTCACTATCCTAGCTCAGACAAACATCTCAATGTTTCATATTAACCCCTGCATGTTGGGCATCTCTTTGGACAAAACGAACTGTGTTCATATCTGCACAGTTACAATAAATCATGAAGTACATAGGGAAATACACAAACAGCTAGTCAATTAGAAAAGTAGGAACTGTCATACCGAACCACACTAGTCAGACATCTAGTGCCGTATCCCGTCTCCAATTCAAAGCGATGGATAAGAGCTACTTCAGAGGAGGGTGGGAGAAATACTGTAGGAGGCAGTTCTGATGTAATCTGCCCACAGGGAAAATTTCCTCCTGATCCTGCCAAGTTACAGTCTGGCTTATGCCTTAGGAGCATGAGGCTCCGCTAGATTGAACAAGGAATGTTTACATCTATGAATGGCCTCTGGTAAATTTCTCTCGTATATACACACTTGCCTTCCCCAATTTGCCAGAAGCTAGTTTTGTCTTGTCATGCCACTTCTGCAAGGTGTTGTTCCGATACATTCTGAAATCAGCAAATCTCTTAGCCATGAACTCGGGGTAGTCTTCCATCTCTAGTTTCCGTTTAGGAGGGCCTTTCTGCGTCCGAACCTCACCTTCCATCTCTTCATCACTACCACTGGGGATCTCCTCATCACTAGACATTTAAAAAAAAATTTTTTTTTTAAATCACACTGAGGCAACAATTTGGAAACTCTCTTTAACAGCCACTTCTCTTGCCATCTTTTGCTAATTATTCAGATGTCAAGTAACTAAACCCCCCCCCCTTCTGCCACCAAAAGAAATTAAAAGCACAAGCTTCCAGAGAACACAGGACACGTTCAAATGCCATTTGTCCGCAATGTCCATTACCCAAACAGCAGCAACTGGGGAAGCAGCGCTAAGATGGGGAATGCCAACGCTTTTATGTTTCCCTGTTTAAAAAGTTAGCTAGCAGATGGATTTTAGAAAGGCTGCTGTATTTACCTCTCCACTTTTGACTGCTTTCCATCTACCAGATACCTTGTGCCTGGATATTGATACAGCAGTTCATCCTGGAGGTCCACTAACGCTCTCAGCAATGCCTTCAAGGCTTTATAACCTGCAGAAGAAGAAACACCAGTAACAATTTCAGGTTGATCCCAGCTTCTGGTGAAGCCTTAGAGTGACAGCTTCTGGCTTCACATACTAAACCTACATTCCCCCCACAGCTAGCGCAGGTATTGTGAAGCCTCAACCCCATTAAAAATGCTATTTAACATTTATAGATCATTCTTTAGTTAATGCCAAAGCCTCTGCAGAGAAAGGAAATTCCTATAAACAAAGGGAGGAAAGGGGAGTTTTTCTAAACAGTTACACACTGGGAATGCATTGATCAATCTATTTAACTGACACGCACAAGTTTGGGCTTGGAATACTAAAAGATTAGCATACTGAAGTAGTAAGTTACTATGGGCTTAAGGATCTGATGGCACAAAAATATGACAACTTCCCCTTTTGCTGACTAATTCATTGCCCTCCCGTGTTAGCCAATGCCTGCTGCAAAAAGTTTGGTGTCAGAATATGAAGCAATTCCAGAGAGGGAATAAATATATTTATGCATTCTATCTACACTTACAGATTTTGGTGGATTTTCTTTTTTTTCCTCCCCTTCCCCCTTTTTCTTTTTCTTTTTTTGAATGTGTGTGGGGTGTAGGGAGCAGGAGGTGAGAGGAAGAAAGGAAAACGAATGCCTGAGGAGCTGTGATGGCTACAGGTTCTTCTACACTGCTGTGTTTACTATGCGGGAGGTAGAAAAAGTTGGCGTGTAAGTAAAATTAAATGTAGCAAGGTCTGATTGCTGGGGAATACAAATAAAGATCTAGCAAATAATGAGAGGATTTTGATCAGATAATCAGAACTGCAGGCCTATAGGTTTATAAACAGAGCATGTCAGTCTCAGGCCTGCCAACTGGGCACTCTTCACAAACTACATTCACTGAAAAAGACAGAGTGTAGTTAAACAAAGAGAATCAAGGCAGGAGTTTAAGGGTTATCCTCAGACAGCTGTTTTCCAGACTACCTGCAGGCCTAAATGCTGAAGGCAGCCCATTCGGTAGCAATCAGCCCAAGAGCTGGCCAGTTGCCAATTCCTTCACATAGCTGTGAACACACTCCCTGTCGAAAGACCTTTACAATCTACAGGGACAAGCATTCCAGCTCAGACACAAGCCAGGTGATGGGTTTGTCCAACAGTGGTACCGCAGCTCCGCCTAAAAATGTAAGAAATTAACACCAATAGGCTTCCCAAGAAAATTCTCCATTACCAGGTTAGTAGGAGCCTCTTTCCCGGCCTGGCTTGCATGCTCTATATATAGGCTGAAGCATCACTTATTTCAGAGACCACACACTGCTGATATTGCCAACATGCAGCCAGAGATCCTGGTGTCTAATTGGGCCCATACTGGGGAACCATTCCACAGATTATGGTCAATACGGAGAGAACACAACAGACTGGATTCCAATAGAGTGCTGATGGGAGAGAACCCCAGTGCTTCGGATTTCCAGTTCCTGCCAACATAGCCATGCAAAGCTCTGTTGTTCCAGAAACCACTCAAGTGGCTACAGCGGAGTTGGCAACCGTCCTGAAGTGGCGTGCCAAGGTTTGACCCTCCTACACTGGCCCATGCTGCACTCCTGGGAGGCAGGGACGGGCTCTCTTCATTGTGCACCCCGTGGACCACTGGCCTCAATGCAAACCTTTCCTGGACCACCAGTTGCTAATGGAATCTCACCATTAATTACACCCGAGCCATTCTGCTACTGCTATAGCTAGGGAGAATGGTTTAATTTAAATTATTAAACAGACTAAGCGTTTTAATTTTCACATGTTCGTTTATCAAACTTCATTTTAAATAAAGTAAAATATTAATTTATGTCCAACACAAAAGGTTTCAATGTTTTCTTTATTTATGGCAGGGATGGGGAACTTTTTTGGGGTCAGGGGCCACTGACACACAGAAAAATCAGTTGGGGACCACACAACTGGGAAGCAAAAAAAACTTCTCCAAAAACCCCCAACCCTCACTGATGTACCCCCAACTGAGACACCTCACTTCTCCGGCACGCCAGGCCCATGGGGCAAGGGAAGGGACACAGAAGACTAAGGTTCTGGCTTCCTATAGGCCAGATTGACTTTTCTGGGGTTCTGGAGTTAGTGGATTTTGTGCACCCCCTTAGGCTCCGAAGGGGGACAAAAACAAGGGGCTCAGTGGGCAGGGCAGAGCTGCCAGTGGGGGGGGGGGGG